CCTACCACATCCCAAAACCAGCCCAGCTTGTCCCTGCCTCCCTGACCTGTTCTTCCTCCCACCTATCCCCTCCTCCCACCTCAAGCTGCACCCCCATCTCCTACCTACTAACCTCATCCCGCCCCTTTGACCTGTCCGTCCTCCCTGGACTGACCTATCTCCTCCCTACCTCCCCACCTACACTCACCTTTACTGGCTCCATCCCCACCTCTTTGACCTGTCTGTTTCCTCTTCACCTATCTTCTCCTCTATCTATCTTCTGTCCGCCTCCCCTTCTCTCCCTATTTATTTCAGAACCCCCTTCCCCTATTTCTGATGAAGGGTCTAGGCCTGAAACGTCAGCCTTCCTGCTCCTATGATGCTGCTTGGCCTGCTGTGTTCATCCAGCTCTACACCTTGTTATCTCAGATTCTCCAGCATCTGCAGTTCCTACTATCTCTGATACAAAAGTATTTATTGAATTGGTCGGTCATCTTTGTTTCCCATTATAACTTCCACTGTTTCTGAAACAAACCATTAAAAGTACAAAAGCAGGTCAATGAAACTATTTGCAAAAGAAAGAACAAGGCTTTCATTATATTGTAAAGAAATAGAAGCATGAGTGGGCCATTTGGCCTCTTGAACCTGCTCCTAAACTGTCATTCAGAAATCGTGGCTGATCTGATTGTAATCTTAACTCTACTTCCATGCCTGCTTACAAAACCTTGACTTCCTTGTGAAAACAGTCTGCATCTTAGCCTTGCGTATATTCAATTACTCATTTCTTTGGAAGAAAATTCCAATGTCTATCAGCCCTGTGAAAAGATTCCTCTTCACCTCCCTCTTAAATGAGAGACCTCCTATTTTTCAAATGTACCTGTTAGTTTTAGATTTTCCAACAAAGGGAAATATCCTCTCCTCATCCACCCAGTCAAGTTCCCTCAAATTTACATTTCGATAAGATCACCTCCTTCTTCTAAACTCCATTGAGAACAGGTCTGATGTGTTAAACCCAAATTCATCTGCCAAGCCCTCAACTCAGGAATCAGCTAAGTGGACCTTCTCTGAACTGCTTCCAGTAGAATTGCTTTGCTCATTAAACACTAGGGGAAAAAAGCCATCTTTTTATATTTCTGTATTTTTGATTGTGGAATAAAATGGGAAGATAATAGTTTCTCTAAAATAGAGCAAGTTGTATTGAAGGATTTCTACACTTCAAAGCATGTAACCTAACACCAGTTTTCCGCTAATTATTTTTTCTTCTGTGCACACCTGTGAAGTGTGTGTGTGGCAACGACTTCCAGGACTGGACATCAATGCTGCAAATAGTATTAGCATACCAATCACCTTGCACGGAATTTCTGAGCAGCTGTAAACATGTGCAGCTTATAGGAAACATTGCCTGACACTCACTGTAATGCAGTTCGTACAGCTGCTCGATGAAGCAATAGTGAAAGTTTGTAGATGCGCTAGAGCCAGGAGATGTGTTCAGTTCGTGATCATTTATTGATGACAAAGGCCTACCAATGACTGACTCTCCAGAAGCGGAGTAGCTTGGGTAGGGGATGAATGTCTTGTGACAAACCATAGGACCTCTGGAAGTGAAGGAGCTATGTTTTGTTCTGTAGTGAAAGCATTTTAGCCTGGAAGGTGATTTCAAAACACATTCAGGACAGTTTATTTCCCCTTTTTAATTGCTGTTGGCCGACTTTTAATTGGTAAATAAATTTTTAATAGAATCCTTCACTGTAACTAGGAGCAAGAGTATGCCATGTGGACCTTTTGATCTCGGTCTGCCATTCAATATGATCGTGGCTGATCCTCTATCTCAACTCCATATTCCTGCTCTCTCCACACCTTTTGTCCTTTAATATCTTAAATCTATCAATCTCTTTCCTGGTCTGTCGTGGCCTCTACAGTCTTTTGTGGTAGCGAATTCCATTGGTTGACCACCCTTGTATTTCCTTATCTGTCCTGTTGGTTAAAGAAATAAACTCAACATCAAATTTTTGAGGGCAACTAAGGAAGTGCAGTAGATGCTGGCCCAGCCAGTAACGCCATGTCCCACGAGTGAATTTTTAAAAAAAAAGCACTTCTTTCATTTCCTTATTCCTATTTGCTAGTTCTAAAGCTTATTTGATCTGCCACTAATCTGTAACTATTGTATGTGCTTTCTTTCAATTTGATACTACTCTTAATTTAGTTAGCAATGGGTGGTACATTCTTCAGTTTTTCCTTCCTAATGGAACATATATTTGAAAATTATGACATACTTCTTTAAATGTCTGGAAGTTTTTCTTTATTTTCCTCCATCTTAACCCTGGTTGTCCCTGTACACTTCAGTCAACACCGTCTTCATACCTTTGTAATTGTCTTTGTCTTTGTTTAACCTCAACATATAGCTTTAGATGTATGTTTTTCATCCACAAAATGAATTACGATGACTATTATAGAGAGGCTTCTTTTATTAAGGTCATTAATCCTGTCGCATTACACCCTACTGGTTCTAAAATAGTCAGCTTTCTCCTTGGCGGTAGAATGTATTGCTCTAAGAAATTGTCCCAGATTAGTTCTGAAATCATCTTCTAGGATACCTTTATTGATTCGATTTGTCCAATCTATATGAAGATTAAAATTGCCTGCTATAATTGCATCCCTATTATTTGATCATGTGCACTTTGTCTTAGTGTAGCCGCTGCCAGTAGACCCATATGCTAATCCCCAATTCAGTTTCCTTTGTATCTTATTTCCAACTAAACTGATTTGTACATCTTGCTCTTCTAAGCCAAAGTTATTTCTCATGGCACGGTGGCTCAGTGGTTAGCACTGCTGTCTCACAGTGCCAGGGACCAGTGTTTGATTCCAGCCTCGGGCAACTGTCTGTGTAGAGTTTCCGCATTCTCCCCGTGTCTGCGTGGGCTTTCTCTCACGGTCGAATGATGTGCAGTTTAGGTGGATTGGCTGTGCTAAATTGCCCGTAATGTCCAGGAATGTGTCAGCTATGTGGATTAGTCATGGGAAATGCAGGGTTATAGGAAAGGGGGCATTGGTCTGGGTGGGATGCTGTTGCAGGTTGGTATGGACTCAGTGGGCTGAATGGCCTGCCTCTGCACGAGGGATTCCATGACTCTGCTGTACTAAACTAACCTTTTTATTAAGAGCTAACCACCATCTTTCCCTTAACTCCTACCTTTCTGAAATATCAAATGCTGTTAAATAGTCAGGTCCCAGCTCTGGTCTCTGTAATCACTATAATTACATCTCTTGGTGTTGTCAGTTTATCTGTTGTGTGAATGCTGTGTGTTCAGGTAGAGCTTCTAACTGTATTTCTACTATTCTTCCACACACTGCTCTACCTGCTGGTATGTTATTGTATTGTATGCTGTGCTTCTGTTGTCATTACACTGATTACATCTTGCTATATTGCCTTGACCTTTCTTGTTAACTTGCCAAATCTCATGTCACGATTCCCCTGCTAACCCTGTCTCTGAAGCCCTCTTTACAAGAGTAGATATATAAATTGTGCTTTTGGTTTTGTTTTAGTCCCTAAATACTACTCATCCCTGTTCGGAACCTCCTTTTTCTTATTCTATTTATGTTGTTGGTCCCCAAATGTATCGCAACCACTTGGTACTTTTCTTCCCACTGCATGTTCCTCTTCAACCCCAAGCAGATGAGTATTGGGCAGGCAACTTATACTCGGCTGCAGAAAACAGTGCAAATCCCATTAACCATACTGCCGCCTTCTACAGCTGAATTCCTTTTTTACTCCCTCTACTTGAATGGCTGTCTGCACTAGCGTCCTGATCAGTTTGCTCACCCACTCTGCAGCCCTGACAGTTAGCCTGTCAAACTGCAAGAGCCTCACACCTCTTAACCAATAGCAAGAGCAAGGCTCCTTCACTTCAAATTCCTTGATCCCCATACTTGCCTCGTGGGCCGTCTGATATCAACTTGACCGTGGGTCAATCTGAAGAACTAGCCAAGTGTTGTGACTGTCTCATGAAACTGTGTGCACGTAACATTTGCCATCCCTAAAGTATCAATTGCAGTACCCTCAGCTTTGACTGAATTGAGTTGAAATTGCTTGAGCTGCAAACACAATTGCAGATGTTGTCGCTGTGGGTCATGTTGGCTTCCACATGCTTTGTCATCTGCCCTTTGTAATTATGTTTTATTTAACCAATTAGGGTTCAAATATTCTTAATTTCGCAGCTCTTAACTCAAACAAATGTCCTAGTTTAGAGGGAAAAGAGAAAAAAAAGTACTCATCAATCAATGGCTCAACTCACCTGTTTGTCATGGTTTGACCTTTTTTTAGAACATTGGTCTGCTCTGAATATATAGATCGAACCCTTGTTAAGATTTGCTGTTTCTCTGGAAGAAGGGCCTGATGAGAGACAAGTTAATAATGTAAAGCATTTAAAAAATATTGGTTAGCCCACATTTGGAATCCTAGGAACAGTTCTGGTGTCCTGTTATGAAATAGATATAGAAGAACTGGAGATTAAAGATATTTACTATAATGATACCAGAGTTGGGAAGTTATTCTGAATGGATCTTTTGCTTTTTTTTTCAAAAAAGCAAAGACTAAGGGATAACCTCAAAACACTTGGAAGTTTATGAAAAGATTTAATGTAGATGCAGAGATTTCAAGGAGTGGGTGAAGTGGACGAGAGCGTTATGTTCTAATCCTATCTGAGCAACCACCCAGCAGGATGTTAGTGACCATCTTTGATTTTCCCCCAGTTGCAGAAATATCATCTCTGCATCTACATTAAATCCTTTCATAACCTCAAGTCACCTGGAAGTTTATCTCCTGTATTCATGTTAGGCAAAGGGAGAAGTTCATGTAGAGCATGAAAACCTTTTGGGGTGAATGGCATAATTATGTAACTGAATTGGATGTGAAAATAGATATTTTCCCTATTTAGTTTGATAATTCATTGTTTTTCTCAATGTTTGGCTTTTGATGTGGTTTGGAACTGACTACCACTTTTTCCTCCCTGCTCTGCTTGCAGGTTACACTTTCCTAGAGCAGAAGCTAGATCCGAAAGGTAACAACACAGTGTGGTATCTGTTATTTTGGCCTTAAATCATTAATTGGTTACTTTTGATTTTAAAAGTATTTTTAAACATTTAATCCTTTTGAAATTATCTTTTACCTTAATCACCAATGTTATTGATCAGTGTTTGGGGTCGAGCGATTGATTTATATTTATGTAGTGCAGGAACAGTTTTAAACCATATTGCAGAGGAATCTCTTGTGTAGTGGTAATGTCCCAGGAGGACTGGGTTCAAGTCGCATCTGTCCTAGAGTTGTAATAGCATGTCTGAACAGATTGATTGAATGGATTGTACATTGATTAAATGAAATTAATGATATAAATTTGGTTGTTTATTTAAACCTAATTTCCTGAATGTGTGCTACGTTTTAAAAAAGCTTTTAAAAGAAAACACACAACACAAACGTTAATGAAATGTAGAATATTTTGAGGTTTGTGTGATAGAATTTAACTTTCCATGTTGGTTTCACTGGTAGAAATAAAAGCTGATTATTGTTTGTAATGTTTCCTTCTGGTATTGGGGAACTGAAGAAACCTTCAGATACTAAACAGTCTTCTACAAATGATACTTTATAACATAACAATGTTGACTTTTGGACATAAGGCAGTTACAAAATTATCATTCCACACCATGAGTTCAAGCATTGTATAATTGATTCTGAAACTCAAAGTACTTGACTTTTTATTTCAACAAGAATGCCAAGATATTGCTCTCAATAACAGAAATTGCTGGAGGAACTCAGCAGGTATGGCTCCTTCTCTGGGGAGAAAACAGTTCATGTTTTGAATCTGGTGAGTTCTCTTCAGACCCATTCTGAAGAAGACTCACTAGACTCAAGAAAAAAAACATTAACTCTGTTTTCTCCCCACGAATGCTACCAGTCCTGCTGCGTTTCTCTGGCAATTTCTGTTTTTTATCTCAGATCTCCAGCACCTGCAGATCTTCGTTTATTTGTGGTATTGCTCGCAATTGTTTTGTCCAAAAATTATTTCTAACAGAGTTGTTATTAGATTTCTTTTGTTTGCATCAAATGCAGTGAATATTTTATTCTCTGATTTCCTTCTTTGTTTTCTATGAATTTATATCAGTTTACCAAGTAATCATCCTCGCGCGAAGGTTTTGTTTAGGGATGCTGTTTCACGAGTGATGGATGCCCTGTTTCCATATCTAAGTGACTGATCATGTATTAGTTGATTCGAATATGGGAGAATAGAAGCAAGGATCAACCTTTTGCTCTCTAGAAAGTCAGAAAGGTCAGCAGGGACTGGTATGATGGACAAATGGAACTTGGTTTGAGACAGGAAGGAAAATATTCTTTTATTTTATGTCTTTCATGAACCAGGATGCCCCAAAGAACTGTACAGTGAGTGCAATACTGAAGTTAATTTGCTAATATAGTGTAGGCTGCGCACAGCCAGCTTCAATATGCTATGTTCCACAGACAACAAAATAAATGACCCGGTCATCTCTTTTGGATATTGTTGGCTGAAATGCAGAACTCCTTTGCTGCTCAACTGGGGTTGCAAAACAGGAACTTCTAACGCACTGCTCACCATCAAGACTGCAGGTAGTTCATTGAATACCGCAACAGTTACCTCCAATGTGACATCTTCTGCATCCAACGTATTTCTGGTCTTGCATTTGCAGTCTGTTTCTACATTGGGAAGTTTTAAAAGGGAGCCATACTATAGACAGCTGTACCTGTGAAGGTAATTAGGAATACAAAAAGTGAAATGGGAATAGTTAAAAAGAATATAAAATAATACTAATAGCTAATGTTAAATGGAATCAGTAAGTGCTTATATAAGCATATTTAAAAGTAAAATAATTGTAGAACGTTGGATTTCAGCCAGGCTGACATAATTCAGTATTGTAGTTTTGTTAGACAACAGTGAAAATGGTGTCAAGAGGAAATTGCGGAATAGATGCTTGAGGTATCTGAAGTAAAGGAATTTATTTTGAAAAATAGGACTGTTGCTACACGTTCTTAAAATGTGGGAAGTGGGAAGTTGGAAGATCTGGTTGCAATTTTAAAATCCTCCCTGAATAAGCAAATACATAATCCTGATTTCAAGAAAAAGGGAATATGTCTTGAAAAAATACCAGTTAATCTAATGAATATTGTAATTAATTAAGATGTGGAAGTGCCGCTGTTGGACTGGAGTGGACAAAGTCAGAGGTCACACGACTCTAGGTTACAGACCAACAGGTGTATTTGAAGTCTCAAACTTTCAGAGCATAACCCCTTTGTCAGGTGAAGTGACAAAGGGACTACGCTCGAAAGTTTGATTTCAAATGAACCTGGTGTCCTGTGACTTCTGATGTAATTAGTTAAATTAGCTTTGTAAAAACCGCGGATTAGGCAAGTGATAGTTAGCGTCTTTTTGTTAAAGACTAGTCATGGATTTTTCTTGCAATATTGACAAATGGGATAGATGGAGAATGTTGTGAATGAAGAGAGATTTTTTTCAGAGAAGAGGTGTAATGTATGAGGATATTGGCTGATGGGTACAACAGTCTGGCTAAAACGCATGTGGTCAGATAGTGGGAAAAAAATCATGACATTTAACAATAAACTGGGGACTTTGTACATAGTGAGAATTTTAAAGAATTTCATGAAGACTAATGGTTTGAGTATTCATCTGGTAGGTAATTTAATATTGGTATGTTTGAGATTATACATCTTGGAAGGGCAATTGTGGAATCAGGGAATTAATTCAACAGTTTGAAGGATTTTGGATATCTGATTGGCAATGTGAAATGTGTAATTTGATGTTTAGCTAGTTGACCATGCCTTTAAAGCCAACAATGTTTTTAAACTGGAGTACAGAACTTATGCAGATGAAACTGGGTGTGGGCCATCTTTGTTATTTAGAAATTGAGCATACTGGAGTTAATGTCTACTTTTAAATGAATCCTGCTTGTTATTGAAGGTTTATTTCACTCCTACATGTTCAAAAAATATTTCTTTAATTTCTAGTTTTCTTTTTTAAAACTGACTTGCTCTTCAGGGTTAAACTATACAAACTTGACTTCTGGCTAGATGAAACTAGGTTTTATTACTCCAGATTCTCCTGGGCTTTTGGAGCTGTGCCTTGGAAACTAGTGAAACAATCATATTTCTTGTTGCCCTACAGTGTAGAAGGTGGCCATTCAAATAACTGCACTTGTGTCTACTGTGTCAAGTACTGAATCTTGTTACCACATTTAATCCTTCTCCATGCTGTTTTAGAATAATTTGTCAACTACCCATCATAATATGCAGCGTGGTTTCTGCTCTTTTGAAACTAACCAAAAATTATGTTGTCCTTCAGCTACCAATGCTTTAGCTAATGGAAGTGCTTTGATTTAATGCACTCTATTTTGAACATGTCTATTAGATCTGTCTTTGACATTCTCTTTAGCAAAAGTCATTCCTGATGCCGTGTAACAAATTTTGAGGGTGAACCCTGGCTCAATTTACAGTGCTGAGTAGTGAAGTTCTGGTTTCAAGTCCCACTCCAGGGATTGAGGAAAACAATCCAAGCTGATTGCAAGAGTGAGAATGTATTGAATTTAGTAATTCAAATGAGACAGTACACTCTAATTCCATTTGCCAGTTTGTTTGGATGTAAAAGATTCCATTGTACTCATTTGACAATGAACGCAGCATTTATGAAGTATCCTTACTAATATTTATCTTGATTACTATCTCGAATAATCTGGTCATTATTACACTTAGTGGGAGTTAGGCATAAATTATCTGTCACGTTTCCTACCTTGCAACGCTGGCTGTAAAGTGCTTTGAGATACCTGCTCCTAAATAAATGCACATTTATTTGTGACTTTTATATTCTTTTTGCGGTTTTTTTTATTTTGAAAGGAAGATAGTGAAAACTAGACACATTGCCAGTTTGCAAGGTTTGTTAAAAGTAGTGGCCAAGGAGATAAAACTAGAGAATTAAACAGATGGCTAAAGGAATGGTGTGGGAAAGAGGGGTTCTATTTGTGGGACGCTGGCATCAGTGTTGGTATAAAAGGGATTTGTACTGTCAAGATGGCGTTCACCTGGATTGATCTTGAGACCTGGATCCTGGTAGTAACAAGGACTTTAAACTAGTTTAAAGGGATGAGAGGTCAGCAGTTGTTAAAATTTCCAGAAGAAGTAATAAGATACTGTATGGAAATGGTCAGGAATCTACTTCAGGCACAGCAGATAAAGGGACTGGTAAAAAGGGGATGTGGCCAATGCAGGACAGAGGGTGTTGTACTTAAATGCACGCAGTAAACAAAACAAGGTAAATGAGCTCGCAGCACACATTGAAATTGGTGGGTGTGATGTTGTGGGCATCACAGATGTGGCCGCAAGGGGATCAGGGCTGGGAGTTGCAGTAGGTTCTGATATAATGTAATTGTTCTGTTCTTGTGCAATCTCGCATTATAAGAAAATTGCGCAGTAATTGATATGATGGGGATGACATCAAGTTATAGCCAATACAGGTAAGGAGAGTTTGCGTTCTACAAATAGCAATAATTCTTCAATCACATTAAAACCAATTTGTGTTGAAGAAATACAAGTTATATCGGAACTAACTGTAAATATCGAAACATATGTGCCCTATTGAAAGGGCTTGAGATTACCTTCTCAGTAAGAAATAAAATTTAATAGATCGCAAGAAGTGATGTAGGATTGGAAAGTTTTGAATCTGTGTGGGTAGAATTGAGAAACTGCAAAGAAAAATGCCCTGAATTATGTACATGGCCCTAACAGAAGTCAGGATCTGAGGCAGAAAATAAATAGGAAATAGAAAAAGCATGTAAGAAGGGCACTATGTAGTAATCCTGGGGCAACTTCAGTATGGAGGTGGACTGGGATAATCAAGTTGCTACTAGATCCTAAGAAAAGGAATTTGTGGAACGTCTATGAGATGGGTTTTGTTTTGGAGCCGATTGTGATGGAGCTCACTGGGGAACAGACAATTTTGGATTTGGTGTAATGATGATGTGTAAT